CTTTTAGGATTTTCAAATTCTTGACAAGATGTAATCTTTACCTACCTTATAGCTGCATATACAAGAACATATACTTACCATCTTGGACATATTTGATTGGTTAAATAATTAAAAGAAGGAAAGATTGTTTTAACAAATCAAAAATTAAGGAAAATTACAGTAGCGGTTCCTAACATTTTCATTTTTTTAGATTTTACTCTAGCCTTTTATTTTGTACCAGCGAAAGTTCCTAACATTTCATAAATACGCACTTGAGGTCAATCTGAACGGAAACAGTCCAAAACACCGTCAGTTAACCGAGAAATTAAGGAATCAACATTTAATAAAACCTTCCAAAATGAATCAACATTTAATAAAATCGTTACGGTAGCAAATAGTTCAAGAAATTTTTCCGATCAACTAACGGTGTTTTGATTGGTTTCATCCAGATAGACCTCATGTGCGTATTTATGAAAAGTTAGGGACATTCGTTGGTACAAAATAAAAGGCTAGAGTAAAGTCTACAAAAAATGAAAATGTTAGGGACCACTGTTGCAATTTTCCCTTTAATTATTGACCATATCAAATATATTCTATATATAAGAGAAATATATATTTATTTTATTTGACTGGTTTGATTTGTCAAATAATTAAAAGAATGAAAGATTGTCTTAAATAATCAATACTTTCCTTAATTTAATTATTGACTATATCAAACATATTTCACATGATTCTTACCGAAATTTCCATAGGTAAGAGATGTTCGTACTTTGGAGGAGCCTTTACATAAGCAAAGAAAATCATTAAGGGACGAATCAATGCTCTGAGAAAAATCTGTTTATGCCCAACAAAGTTGCAAAACAAGCAAGTTTTGAAGTCTTTTGACAATCTCCAATTAGTTTTGACGGTCTTATGTTCTAATGAAGTATATTAGCAAAACCCATGTGTTTTCAACCGTAATTGAAGAGAACACACATGTACGTGAGTGATATACTTCTACTTAAAGAGCATGCTACTTGGCGTGAGTTAAGATTGATGAATCTTAATCCAACTGGTAGTTGCGATTTGAATATAATAGTGAAGTGCACGATAAAATCAAGACCGGAGTTTTTTAATCCACTTACTCGACAAGTAAAAAAAAAAAAAAAAAAAGTTGTTCTTTACTTACTTTTGATTATTTTTGTTAATTTTGCAAAATTACAATATTTTTTATTCTTTGATAGGGGATTATTTTACTCGTGGCATGGGGGCCGTGGATATTTTCCTAGTTTACCATGTTATATCTAGTGTTTATCTTTATTTAATTTCACAATAAATTATATCTTGCAAAACATAAATTTGTTAAGCTTTCTCGGTCATAATTTCAAGTAAAATTGTCTGTAAGAAGTTTTGACTAACCGGCGTATTTTGGGTAAAACAAATAATTGAGACAAATTGTTTAATTAACTAAATTTCAGTCGACTAAAAAGAATATACTTTTTTATAAGGATTGTATTGGAGAATGTGATTAAAAAGTAAAGAAAAGTTATAAGAAAATATGAAAATTAATTTATTTTTATTTTTATCACAATATATTGTTGAAAATAAGTATGGGGTCACTTTTAACTAAGGGATAAGTATCTGATTCTATTAATTGAATTAACTATGTCTTTGTTTGTTTTTCATTATTTCCTTTTTAAAATGAAAAATATAATCGTTATCTATCACATCAAACCGTCATATTTGACTTTCTATCTGTTGTATGGGGCTTGTAATAACTATATTTTTTTTATTCTCATTTTTATATTAATGTGTATCAAACGGGCCTTATCTATAAATTAAGATAATTCTAACTTCAGTTGGGTGACCTTCAATAAAATATTCCAGCGCTTTACAATCTGAGCCTCCTATATTGCTGTACATCAGCCAAAATTCATATTGCTGTGATATGATCTGGCAATATTCTTATTGAGAATCATTTGACTTGCAAGACAACCTTCCACATTCCTTTCCCCATTGTCATAAATGAATACAGTACAAGCAATCTATGCAAGGGTAATTACTTTTGAATATTATAACGACCATTCTTGTTGTACATGAGGAGATTTACAGATTCTCTATAGAATACACACACGAGATGAGTCACATGTGAGTAAAATATTAAAAAAAAATATCCACCCACGCACCCTTCATGTGAATATCCGTACCTATTATGTGAACAATAAAATTTGTACATACAGATTTATTGATATTATAATCATAGTTGGTCCAATTTTCAAGTTTTCTGATAGGACGATGAGTGTACACACAGCACCTTGAGGGGCCCACGCTGGGATTGTACCTTGTACAGTTTGATGTAAACTGTATAAGGAGAAAAATCATTTTTGACACTTACTAGTGTCCTAAAAAAAATAAAATAATAATAATAATAATGCAGGACCCAAACAAGTTTATTACTTGTATCATTTCTGTGATAGAACTTTGAAGTCACGTGTAACAAGGAGAATCACCAATCACCCATTGGCCAAGCATTAGTAAATTCAATAATTATTTTATAAAATTTTGTTCGATTATTAGCAAGGAAATGCCAAACAAAGCCTTGTTCGACGACTATTAAAATTTAGATTTTCATTTAAATCAAAATCAACAATTAATTTTAATTACATATTTTATGAGTCCCACAATTTTTCCACCACACATTTTATTAACCTCTATCAAAATCTACTAAAAATCTTATTAAATTACCACCAAACCGGGGCTAATTGTTGTATATAATCTCTAATTTAATAGATGAACTGGTGAGTTTTCGTTCGGCAAATATTGAATTTTTTGGAGATCGACTAGTTAGCAGGCCAAAACTCAAGTTTGTTGGGCAAACTCTAATATTAGTACAGTAGACAAATATCATGAACATTTGAAGTTAGCCAGTCGAGCAAATTCGAGATTTGCATAACAAACTAATATGTTCTAAGCGTACTCAATTTTTACATAGTAAACTCAAGATTTTCGTAACATAATATAAAAGATTTAACACAATAAAATCAAATTATAAAGACAATTTATGTCAATTAACGTACATTTGTAAACGGCAGAGGGCACAGAGCAAGGCCAATTCTGGAGACGGCAGTTAATTAGATATCAGCGTAAGACGACAATGCAGCCGGCTCCGAACCAATTGTTGTCAATTATGGATCTATTTTCCAGAACGGCCGTGTGGAAATTTTCCTCGTAAAACATTATTTAATGTTTCCATCCAACCTTTGTAGACGGTTTACTGACAAATAAGTAAGTTTCAAAAATCAATTTTTATATAAAAAATTTTATTTTCTTTGTATAAAGTCTGCCTTATAATTGAAAGTTTCTAGGCACTCAAAATGAAAGTTTCTAGGCACTCAAAATGAAAGTTTATCATTGTCCCTACTCTTAGGCCCCATTTGGCCCCGATTCTTTTCAATTTTTTAATGGTTAGAATAATATATTTTTTTCTTTTTTAAAACATGTGGTTAAAAAAGAATGAAAAGTTTTTGATTTACGTGTAATATTATTTTATGAAAGATTGTGTAGTTAAAAATAAAAAAGAGAAAAAGAATAAGAAGGAGAATGGAGGCCAAACGGGATACTAGTTCCCGTTTGACAAATATATATTAATTTACTTTCATTTTCAATCATGTATTTTAATAAATTTACAAGTATTATTCACTTATTCATTATTTATTACTGTCTGTTTATAAATTAAATAGTTAATAAATCATATATAATTTTTTTAATCGGAGGCTTTAATTAAAAGAATTAAGTCCTCGTCTGAGCTCCATTTTGTGAGCAAGTGTACATTTAAATAGTGATTTTTTGGATAATGTGTATTAAAAAAATAAGAAAATATTTCGATTTACGTGTAAAATTATTTTATTGGACAATGTGTGATTTAAAATAAATTTTGAAAACATGAGGCTCAAAAGACTAAAATATATGTAGCTGCACTTCACCTCCAATGTCAAGACAAAGAATAGATACATACACCTCAACCTTTCATGATTGAATAACCTACAAAAAAATGAAAGTTTTTAGCGTTTACAACGTGAACTACATTCTATAGTTGACAAGATCCCATTTATTCACTATTGGCGCCTGTTTAATAAAGTTTTTTTTGATATCTAAATCGGTCAAACTTCATTTTTAATCACCGATTTAATTGATACCACAATTTTATTCACTTTTCAATCACATTTCATAAGATCCACCGACTGATATCTCAAAAACTTCATCGAATAGGGGCTTAATAGTCCAATTACTTCTCCGACAAAATCATTTAGCCAATATTTGGCCTTCATTTCCTAAAACTCATTTTCAACCACATATTTTATTGAATCCACGACTTTTATTAATTTGTCAATTATACATTTTACGATTTTTTTATCAAATTCTTCTAAAAATCTGATTTATATTAAACCAAACAGGGGCTTAGTTGTGAGGTCTTTAATCTTTTCCTTATGTAACCCGTGTTGACTAACCAGTGTGCCATGTTTTCCTCCCTCTAAATGTGAGCAAATTCCGCCTTTTTTATTAAGTTATTATCATTAAGATAAAAATTATCTGGATATTAAATAACTTTTCTATTCAGAAACAACTTGGCCAAACCTGCTTTTTGGGCAAAAAATACATAAATAAATAAATAAATAATAATAATAATAATAATAATAATAATAATAATAATAATAATAATAATAATAATAATAATAATAATAATAAATCTATTTCAAAGCAGCTTTCCTATCTTTATGCTTAGCCTTTGGATTCTCCAAGACTTCATTGAAGATGAGTCATTTCAATTCGAGGACATTCTAAGCACCACACTTTCATTTTAAAATATTAAGAAGGTGGTTGTTTAACAAAGTATTTGATAAAAGTTTCAACAAATTTTTATAAAAGTTGATAAAATGTATATTTGATAAATTGTGGATCCCACGAAATGTATCGTTCAAATTGAAGTTTGACCATATAAAATTTTAGCAATCAAACAAGCACGAACTCTGTGCAACGAAGGGAAGAAGAAATTGGTCAAACTTGAAAACATTGTGTAACATTGCACCAAAATAAATGTGCAAGGACAAGTTAGGTATCTGAGTAAAGTTAAGGGCCATATGTGCAACATTGTCAATCAATAATTTGATCACCATTTTGTGTATGAGATGAAACAGTGACATTCTCAACAACAACATTGGCTTTGGAATCCATTCGGTATGAAACATCCAAACCTTCCAAAATCAGGTGATAAATCACAGCACTGGATCCATTTTCAAAAGCTTCATCTTCTTGGTAATGTTCCAACGTCGAAGCATCGTCCACAGTGCTGCCAGTTTCAGTATCGACTGGGAAATTATGAGGTCGGCTTCGTTGAGATACTGACCGAATATCCCAAGAGAGCACCTGTTTTATCAAGCTCTCAAATTCATCAGGAGATGCATAAAGTGACTTCTTTTCCTGAAACAAAAAGAAAAGGTCAAAAATGATGTCATCGACAAAAATATAAGAAAAATTGACACCTAGACCAAGACATTGAGAATAAACCACAACAATCTGAATATAAAATATATCTGATAGAGAAAACAGAATGCCAAAGAAATTGGTCGAAGATGTGAAAGAAAAAGCTGTCTCTATAGTTTTAAAATTGTCTTACCGCCATCGACCAACAATCACCCAGACTGGAGGAGAAACCTTCAGAGAAATTAACTGAATCTACGGTTAGCAAATGGTCCTCCTGTTCAAAGATTTTGTATTAGTTTCTCAATGGGAAAGGGGTAAATACATAGAATTAGCAAGAAAAGCAAAAGTAATTGTACAAAGTAGTACGCAGTTGGTCTTCATCGAGATTAATGCCCTCGCTACATTTCATGATACCCAACACCTTGATATCCAAAATTGAAGTTGGATTATTTTACTCAAACTGGATAGTATTACCAGAAAAATAGCCAATGTTTTCCATTGGTATGTAACAGCTGAAACTCAAACTGCTTTCAGGTTATTCATGCTTCTGAATTACGATTGGCTATTGACCCTTATGCTTGCAAAGACCGGTTTGGATTGCATCGATGCAGCTGATTCCTAATGATACGTTCGGCTAGTAGAATAAGAATTAATTATGCTACTATTGAAGATCAAGAATACGTGACCATATATTTATAATTTTTCAAACTTGATTATCAATAATCTGACACAAAATCTGGCCTAAGTAACTTTTTGATGAGACTCTCAAAAACAAAATGATACTGAGAATGTATGAAAAGAATTTACTCCAGGAATTTACTCCACGCAATTAGCAAATAATGAAGAAGAAAATACCTTCACCCAACCAGGAACTGTTGCTCCCAGGATGCTATCACAATACGGCAGATAAGGTTTGACATCAAGGACAGGCTGTAAATAAAGTTCAAGGACTAGTCATCATTAAATAAATAGTGCTCCATTTAAAGGCCCTTTGCATTCAGCTGAAGAAGACAGATCGTAAATGAGAAAGAAATTCTTTAAGTCAGATCTCCTAATACAGCAATGGAAAACTTACTGTACCATCGACTAGATCAACCCCAGAAAGTAATACTACATGTCCACGAACAGCTTCCACCTAAAACGCAAAACAATTACATCGATTCTTGTTCCACGATGAGTAGAAAGAAATTACACAGATAATTAAAGATCATGTTTGATAAGCTTAAATAGTTTATATATAAATAAGTTATAAAATTATTTTGGCCATTTCAACTTGAATTCGTAGTCTAGATGGAGTGAGTCATAGAAGAGACCGTAAAGCAAGCTGTGTCAGAGGCTATCTCAGTCAAGGGAAAGTTTTTAATGGTAAAGGCTAAAAATAAGTGAGTTTTTTATTTTGACGGTAAAGTAAGAGTTACTTCCAGAATAAGTAACCTTTTTACTTAGAAATAAGAAATAAGTAAGCCCTTGTTCCAAAGTGATTTTTTCAAAATCACTTTTCTTTAAGCTCATTTTCTGTCACACTTTCTCCCACTAAAATAAATTTGCTTGCGGATCCATAACTTCACACATTCTCGAGAAATCACTTTTCATAAAATCACTTCTCAAAAAATCAACACTAAACAAGGACTTAAGTTATCTCTAATTGAATCTTCGGTATGATGATTGTACAAGATATAATTTTTCTATTGTAAAATGTAAACTTCTTAATACCTTTGCTACAGTTAACCCTATTGGACATGGACGATGTGGAGATCTCGTAGAAAAGACTCCCATTTTTCCACCTTTGAGTCTTGGTACCCTTACCTGTTCATCCATGAAACCTTTAGAAGAAGTCCCCAAAATTTAAGATAATATATAAATGGAAACAAAAGCCAAACCTTTGCCTTGAATTTTGATTGTGATGAAGGCTTCCATAACTTTTCAAGATCTGTGTTTAGATGAAACACGTATATAATCCAGCAGTGGGAATATCCTTCAAGACCCTCAAGCGACGCTGGAGGAACCCGAGATGAATCAAAAATCAAGGATGCCCTTGCAAGAGGTACAAGTAAAGGTTGTCTTGGTGTCCCATTCCTACACAACATGAAACATCCCTTACTAAAGATCAGAATCAAATATCAAGGTAGAATTCATTAATGATACAAGCAATCTAACATTGCAATACCTAAAAAGCCAAAAGCACATTTCAATGGTACCTAAAAAGGCAAAAGTACACTTCAATGTTAACACTGAAGTGAGCATTCTAAAAAGTAAACGACCACGTTATGTTTACTATTCTAGATATTTCAATACGAAATTTTATTCACCTTAAAGTGTCAAAAATTTAGCAAAATGTAAATAAGAGCACAAAACAAATAAAAAAGGAGTTCAGATCAGGCATGCATGTAAAGATAACTGCAATTTTCTTTCTTCGTTTTTGGAAATTGCTCCACAGGCTAATGGAATGGAATTATCTAACAATGAAAGAAAGGTCTATTGAATTTTTGTCAAACAAATCCACAGCTACAAAAGTAATGAACAGATTAGTGACAACAATTGGCAAGCATTTCAATAGGCACATTGAACTTCAAGTTCAAGTTCATGGGGCTTTGGTTCAATGAAAAAGATCTCCCGAGCTCCTTTATCCGTTTTAGCAATGTGAAAATTGATAACGTGTACACTAAACCACAAGCCTACTGATCAGTTGAGAGAAACATGAACACCAGTGCTTAGAAACTTTCCAGAAAATTAACCTAAAATCATGCTTTCCTCCAATTCTTCTTAGATTCTGCACATTTCAATATGTATCCTCCATAGCCAGACTAAATATTTTCATTGACACTAAAAGTATTCCTCTTTGTAACAATATTAAAAGCAAATCTCTCCAGCAATTTTCTTCTATAAATTTGAAAGTTGTGTGTACTTGAATTCCACTACATACCCCATCTCACTTATCAACTTTCTGAATGTGAATTTGCCTTATCCCAGTGAGTGATTTTGTCACTCTACAATAGAGATCATATTAGGATGATTCACCTATAGATGCAAGAGAAAAACTTAATACACTTTCTTTTACCATATTACCTGGTAGAGAAGCACGACCGGACAGTGGCAATAGGTTCCATGGGATATGAATTCAATTTGAGATTGTCAGAATTAGGCCCGCTCATTGCTTTCCTCAGTGCCTGCAATATGTCATCATGAAGTGCAAAGAATTTGATAACAATGCAGGGAATGCTACAAGAAAACAATATAGTTCAAACATAATAAGCATAATTTGCAACTGTACTACCTGGTAATGATTTTCATGACATAGAATATTCAATACGTACAGATATAAATAGAAATATCTAGACATATACATAGACTTTGAAGAGATTCTCTATAAGACAAATTGATATAGGCCCCAGTTCACGATTATGGAGAAAAACAAGTTTGCAATAATCAGTGAATAAATATGTTTTGTTCCTAATTTGTTTCCCTATTCCATTACATGACAGCCACATACTGGGGGAAGAAAGAAAAAACCAAAGAAGGGTTTTATGTGAATATTTAATATACTCAATTCACAAATAAGAAAACTTTCCAAAATAAAAAAAAATAAAATCAAAAAAAATAAAAATTTCTATATGACAAAAAATGAGTACTCAACAAAGAAAAAACTACTGCAAGCAAAGAAAGCTACCTTGTTCTTTAAATGGGCTAAAGAAAAGAACAAAAGCCAATAAAAGAATGAGAATTGAATGCATTAAAAAGCTTTACAGAGTGGGCTATTTATAGCCATAAGGCACAACTAAATTTACAAAAAATCTGCTAACAACCCAATAGAGTAAGACTATCCTAAAGATTACGTAGAAAATAGCTAACTCCCTATTGACTAGGTAAAACCTTTGTTCCTGTAAATAATTGATAATAAATTTCTAACAATCAATTCCTTAAACTAATGTGTAAAAACATAAGTTTAACGAAGACTAGCTACTATGCCCCTCCATCAAATCAGTCTTTTCATAGACACCAAGTAGTCTCCTGAGCTTTCGAAATGCTACAAATTTGAGGGGCTTTTGAATATGTCCACAACTTGATCTTCACTCTTGCAGAAAATAAGATCAATTGAACCATCGTTGGTGGATTCTCGTAGACAATGATATTTCACATCTATGCTTGCTTCTACCATGTAAAACAGGATTTTTTAAGAGTTTAATTGCAGAACTGTTGTCCCACTATATCTGAGTATTCCATGTTACTTGAAATGAAGTTTTCCAAGAATCTTTCTTAACCAAATACCTTGACAAACATAAGCCGTTGCAACTACAAACTCAGCCTCTATAGTTGATAAATTGACAATTGACTGCTTCTTAGATGACCGTGAGGTAGCCCCTGAACCCAGCATGAAAGCATATCTCGAAGTACTTTTTCAATCATATGAATCTCTAGCATAATCACTATCAGTAAAACCCATCAAATAAGACTTTTCTCCATCTTGTAGAATAATCCATAATTTACAAGTAACAAAAAATCCTCTTTACAGAAAGAATATGACTCTTCCTTGGATGTTCCAAGCACCTACTAATGAGACTAACAGCATGCATAATATCGGGTCTTGTTGCAGTCATATATATCAAACTTCCAACAATTTGCTTGTAATTTCTTCTGGATCTTTTTGAGTTTTAGACCAAATTCTGTTAGAGTGCTTATAGAATTGCAATTCTTCATTTGAAACTTGTCAAAAAGTTCTAGCACATATTTCTTTTGGGAAACAAAAATACCATCAACAGATTGCACTACTTCTATATCAAGAAAATAATGCATCATTCCTAGATCAGACATTTCAGACTCAACCATCATGGACTTCTTAAATTCTTTAAACATAGCTCTACTAATTTTAGTGTAGATTAAATCAACTACATATAAGCAAACAATGAGCATTTCCTCTCCATCTCCAATTTTTATGAAAAGTGTGTGTTCGTAAGGACATTTTTGAAATCCTTCCTTCAAAAAATAAGTTTCTATACAATTATACAAAATCTGTGGAACTTGTTTTAATTCATATAGAGCCTTCTTTAACCTATACACTTTATGCTCATTCCCAGCTTTACAATAAACAGTAGGTTTACTAATAAATACCAGTTAATTCAAATCTCCATGGAGGAATGCTGATTTCACATCCAATTGGAAAATAGGCCATGAGTTTTGAGATGCCAACGCAATCACCAATATGATTGTATCGTGTCTAGCTGTGTGAGTGGATCTTCAGTTTGATTGATTTCGGTTACCTCGTAATTTGAAATCCATGCCGACTTCTTTCGAACACGGTGAGAATGAGATCCAATTGCTACTTCAACATGCTCATCAAATTCTAGTGTTGTCTGTGCGATATTAGAAGCTATAGGACGTTCATTTTGAGGTTTCTCATGTGCAACAATTGATGGAAAAGGTTGTTACTGGGGTTGTTTTGCTTCATCATTTTCTCCATTAAAACTAGTTGGAATTTGTTCTCAGCAACATTTTTGTTCTATGGCCAGATTTGATCTTCAAAAAAAACATCATGATTGATAAGCAGTTTTTTTAGTGTTAGGATTGTAAAGCTTATAAGCTTTTGATTGATCACTAACACCACGAAAAATACATTTTTTTTATGATGCTCGGATTAGGGTATGGGTACGTATCCAAGTGTCGAATCTTTTATTTTCTAAAATGTAAGATATGAGAACATGACAACAAAGAGCCCAAATTTTGGACACAACTGCGCAGATACGTCTTTTAAGTTCCAATTTTTTTACCGACCCAAGATGTCATTTGAATAGACAAAAATAGTTGTTTAAAAAGATGAAAATGAGTATTGAATAAGGAGTTAAGACGAATACAATAGAATTTTGGGATTTAGTTTTCAATTATAGAAAGTTAATTATTAAATGTTATATAAAATAGAAAATGACAGACTTGATTGCAATTTGGACTTAGTAGAACGTTAAGTAGCACTATATGGAACCAATTTTCGTTTTGTATAAACAAAACCCTAAACCACCGATACAGAAAGGGAAATAAGGAAAAAAAGAAAAAAAGGGAAAGAAAAAAGAAATGAGGGAAAACCTAGTGCCGTCACCTTTCTTCACTCCCTTAGAGGTGACACTAGGTTTATATAGAGCAGAAATGGGAAAGAAAAGGAAAAGAAAAAAAGAAGAAAAAGAAAGAAGAAGAAGCAAAAACAGTGAAATGTCAGGTTGAAATTTTGAGGATTTGACATATATTCCATGCCAATGTCCATGTCATATCGTGTCCAACACAAGTACTCCAACCATTTTAAAGAGTCTGAGCATCAAAGCATTTTTCTCCCTTTTCATCTAGCCTTTTCCTTTTCTTGTATGGAATATGGGCATATAACACACCCAAAAATTCTGAAATGATCTACTGATGGTTTTCGTTCGCTCCATGCTTCCTCTGGTGTCATGTTTTGAACAGCAAGTGTAGGACATCTATTCAAAATATAAATTCTCCAATTAACTGCTTCAAGCTAGAAATTTTTCGAAATACAGCTCCGTTTCAAAAGGCTTTGTACCATATTAAGAATATTGCCATTTTGTTGGATCGTATAGGCAGTAAGTTGCCACTTGATTCCATGGGTTTCACAAAAATTTGCGAATTCATGTGAATTATATTCTCCATCACGATCCGTGCGAAGAACTTTTATGGGATTGCCAACCTCTTTCTCAACAAGTGTTTTATAGCTTTTAAAAGCTAGAAAGGCTTCGAATTTTTCTTGCAAGAAGCAAACCCAGATTTTTTGACTATAATCATCAATAAAGGTAATTATATATCTTTTACCTCCATTAGAAGACGGTGTTATTGGCCTGCAAATGTCGGAATGAACAAGCTCCAATGCCTTCTTCACTCTCCATCATTTTCCTTTTGGGAATTGATTATGATGTTTGCTGACAACACATTCTTAACAAACTTGAGAAGGAGCTAAAATTTAAGGAATACCTGTCACCATATTCTCCAGTTATAGAGTCTTTAATCCATCAAAATTAACATGCACATAGCGAAAATGCCATAACCATTCCTTCTCCTTCAATCTTGTAGAGAAACATGAGTGAATGATATTGAGGAGATACAATGGAAGCATTCGGTTGGCTGTCATGTTGATTTGAGCCACCAAGCCCAGTTTTTCATCTTCAATTCTGTAGACTCCATCTTTGATAGAGGTTTCATATCCCTTTTCTTGTAGTTGACCAACACTAAGAGGATGTTTGGTAGGAATTTTTATGTGAAAATGCATTTTTGAATAGTAAATTGATGGGAAATGTGTGGTTGAAAAATAAGAAAATTTTTTTGATTTACATGCAATATTATTTTAATAAAGAATGTGTGGTTGAAAAGAAGAGAGAGAAAAATGCATTTTGATAAAAATGGGTGTCAAACAGGGCCTAAGTAAATTTGTTCTCAAATCTAGAACAATTAGAACATTAGAAATGGTTTGAATAGAACTTCTGTTGGTCTAAATTGCTACATTTCCTTTTCCCAAACAAAGACTTTAGAACCATTGCCAAATTTCAAAAAATCACACAAAAGATTCATCCAGTTCAGAAAATACAGACTTCTCTCCACACATATGGTTATTGCAACCTGTATCTAAGTACCACAAATTCTAGTTGGTTTCCTCCTTCACATGACAGGCCATTAATAAAGAAGATTCTTCTTCATTCGCTACAAAATGGAATTACTTACCATCATAATTCTTGAGAATGCTTGACTTTCTGACTTGTAATGTCCATACTTGTGACACTTGTAGCATTCAACTTTTGCTTTGTTTGCTGACCTTGATTTAAAATATGTTGAATGATTGTTGTCATGACCTCTTTCTCTCCCTTTTCCTGGTATACTAGAAAACTGATTATCTTCAAAAATTTTATAGGAATATCTAACATAATTGTTGTCTCAACCCTTTCCTTGCCCTTGATCTCCTATTTTTGATGTCGAAAAATGATTATTAGTTGAGGCCTGTAACGCTTGCTCCTCATCTTGTTGATGCATTTTCTGCTGCCAACAAACCACGTTGTTACTCATCAAGAGAAGGATTATCAATATTATTTGATTCCTCAATGGAACAGACAACATAATTGAATTTTGTTGTCATGGAACGAAGCATCTTTTCGCATATCACCATGTATTTGCATCTTATTAGCGATTCTATCATCCTTGAGAAGTAATCTGAAACAGATTCTCCCACCTTCATTTGTAGAATTTCAAATTCACCACGAAGTGCTTGGAGCTACATCTGTTTGGCCCTTACATTCCCTTAATACTTTCTCTTCATGGAATCCCAAATCTACTTGCTAGTATCTTTCTTAAGAATAGTTTCGAGAATTGAGCGATTAATGGCATGTAAGGTGCTTCTTTGCCTTTAGGTCTTTCAATTTCAACCCTTCTTGCTTTGTCTTTTGCACATATGTCAGCACAACACCTGCTGTGGGTTCTACTACTACAGAATTAACAACCGTCCAATATTCTTTGGACCTCGAGAAGTTTTCCATGAGCATGCTCCAATGGTTGTAGGGACCATCAAAGCGTGGAATTGCAGGATGTACAAAATTCTCAGAAGCCATGAAAGAAATTAGTCACACGAATGAAAAGAAGTAAACTGCTGCTTTAAAACACTCCCTTGCGTGTTTACACTCTCGTGTTTTTCAACCTATCTCTGATTCCAGTTATAATAAATGGATGCTCAAACAATATATATATATATATATACACACACACACACACACACACATAAAGAAAGAAAAAGAGAGAGAGAATACTGGAAGCAAAGAAAGTTACCACATTCTTTAAGCCCTCGGCCTCCATTAATTTTCATTCCGTTATATTTCATTTTTCTCTCTCCTAATTTCAACCACACAATCCTCAATAAAAATAATATTACATGGAAACGGAATATTTTTCCTTATTTTTCTAACATTCATTTTTCAAAAAAATACTATTCCATCCATTTTCATTTACACAAAATGGAGGCCAAACGAGAGCTTAGCTCGCTAAAGAAAGAACAAAAGCCAATAAAATAATGAGAAATCTGAATGAATTAAAAACCTTTTTATAGCCATAGGGTCTAACTAAATTTACAAAAAATCTGCTAGAGTAGGTTCCCGGGTAAAAGCTTTATTCATGCAAATAATTAATAATAAATTCTAACACTATAATCGTTTCTTCAGACAAATTATCTATTGTTTCACCTTCATAAAGTTAATAAAAGAGAATCAACTACCTGTTGAGCTCTAATCCGACCTTGTCTCTCAGCAGCACATTTTTCTAAGGCAGACTTTATAGAGGCTTCAAGTTCATGAATTTTCTTATTCACATCCCCACTAAAATTTGACTTTGTTTTCCTTCTCCAAAGGCAAACTGTATACGGAAATCAACACACAGTATCTCTCAGTTCTGCCCTTGGTATGCTAAAATTGCAAGAGAAAATTAACAGAAATGTAAAGGCGTGAACTCACAGGAAATGACAGTAGAGGCTAGGGCCAGTGAAATGGAGAGAGTTAGCCACTGAGATTTGGAGGCGGCCATCGTCCAGCGAACCGTGATTCATCAGATTTTGCGAATTTCTTTAAGGAGGCCTGGGCCTTAATGGGGCCAGTAGTACTTTTGGAGATGTTAGATTAGAGGACTAATTTGCATTTTTGAACAAAGAGACGGGGGTTAACGTAGATTTTAAAAATGAATGTAGAACGGTACAAGTTTGTTTACGAATTTAAGAAATGATACCTACGTTCTATAGTAAAAATTTATTCATTTAGCCCCCGTTTTTTTGAATTTTTGGAAGAATGAGAATAAAAAATATAGTTATTACGGGCCCCACACAAGAAATAGAAATTCAAATTCGATGGCTTGATATGATGGATAACGATCATATTTTTCATTTTAATGAGAAAATAATAGTAACCAAATAGAGTCACATTCTTTCAAAAAAATACATTTTAAAATAGTGACATCATTCAATCATACATTCTTTAATAAAATAATATTACACGTAAAATCAAAATTTTTCATTATTTTTTAACCATACATTTCTTGTCAATACACTATTGAAAAATGCATTCTTATAAAATAATGAGATAAAATCATTTGAACACCATATTGTACATCCTCCTCATATGTTGAGGGTCATGTAAATGGACCCACATGAATAAAAATTTTGCAAACCTCCTCATTGTGAAGGGATTTAAAAGTGTACAGTACTTACACTAAGCCCAAAATAATGTGGCTCAAACAAGGGCTTAATTGTACATCTCATGTAGCCCTCATTTGACAATCATTATTTTAAAAAAAAAATTCTATATACTCATTTTAAACAATGTATTCACGCAATTTTATATGTAAAATCTAAATTTTCCTTATGTTTTAACTATATATTCTCCTAAAAATTACTATTCAAAATATTTTTCTGGCCAAATAATGACAATCAGACATGAAATTAATATAGTTAATGTCACCTAAAAATTGGTGTTATAATACGAATAATATTTAATAGCATTACTAATTTAAAAATTTAATATATATCAAATTCATAGGTACTCCATGACCGAAACTTCTTGCTGTGTAGATTTGGATTATAGTGATCGTCTTTGCGCATGCAAAAAAACTCAATTTTTTCTTGTAGCTAAAAATAAGTTTGACTTGTAAAAAAGGGTAGGATATATGTGGATTGAATTTTCAATAAACTAAACTTAAAAAAAATAAAAATAAAAATCTCAATTTTAGAAGATCCCAAGAAAATACAATTATTAACCTTGTCTACCAAACACAAAACACTTCCATCATTCCTCGTTGGGACTTCAGTTTAAGACAAATTTCTCGTACTCTCAGTTTCTAATTTTATTTTTTTGACCTGAAGATTGTTTCTCGTAATTACGTCATGTAAAACAACTAATTTGACAAGAATGCCTAAATCATTTAAATTTCATACAAAAGGGTAGGGGGAGAAATTGTAAAGTTCTTGAAGAGAGAATGCCATATTCGTCCAAAATTTGAATATTATTTAGAAATATAAAAATAGTGGACAAAATTTTATTTTCTCACTCCAAAAGTGTCCTATATAACGTGTCAACCCCAGAATATGTTGTAAACAGATATCGGATTCACCCGCGCACACGTAAACCTGGTCCAACACGTTAAGACACGTGAACGGTCTAAAAATGATAGCAAAATGGGGGCGTGGGAGCAACTCAAAGGTGCGGGACGAGAACGTTCGTAATCCGACGAGATGTTTGCATAACGATTGTACAATAATTACTAATCGATGTTTCTAGAATGCGAGTATGAATTCATGCATGTTGTAAGAAAGTAAAATGTAAAACATGTTGTATTTATTCTCGTGGTGAATCTTGCATTACCTTTGTGAGAGATACAAGGAGAGTATTTATAGTATTACAACTTAGATCGTGACACTTGGTTAGGAATACACGTGGCCTCATCTCGTAAGTTTACATGTCCAATTATAGGTGTCACATTTGACTTCCTAGTTTGCTACACATTAATTAACCGGCGGCTCTGTCACTACGTTGACAAGACAAGGCGCTTGCGCTCTATGATAGGTGTTCCATCAATCACTCAGGGAGGATCCTTGTGTAAGACCGGATCTCTGGGGAGCAGTGCTTCTTAGAGCCTAGGGACCTCGGATAGAAGGGTCTCGGCTACGAGATCTCCTCTGCGTATTAGCTTCGATGGCAACACTTGGACCACGTTTGGTGCTATTATAATATGTTGGTGCTCTTGTTGGGATGGGGGCCTCGAATAAGATGTCATG